ATGGTCAATGTGGGAATGTGCTCATGGAAACCCTCAGTTCATAAAGATGTCTGTTTATTTCTCATAAAACTCTTTAGTCAAACACTCTGCCAAATTTCTGTATCAGAAATTAAGCATAAAACACTCCACTTTCTGTTGTTGCCTATGACTCTTAATATTTTGAGAAAAAACAAAAGGTAAATAAAATGGAAGGAATCAAGGAGATTAACCATTAGAAATAAAAAATAAATCACCACACTGAAGAAAAAAAGCTTAAATTCAAGGGGATTTTTATTTCAAATGGTAATGGGGCCTGTTGGTTCAAGTGAAATCACATAAGAGCTATTTTGCTCAAGTCTTTTCCAAGTGAAAAATTGTCAACAGGATTAAAGAAATATATTTGAATTCTAATATATGCTCATAAGAAACTAGTGTAAAACATTTACAAAATTCTTCTCCCTAGGTAATATTCCCCAGTTCACTTTAAAGTCCCAAATGAAAGCTGACAGACTGTTCTACTGCAGACTGAGATCTTTTAAAATGGTCTCAGATCCCTAATGCATGAGTCAATTAAAGTGCCTGGCGCTCCTCCTCCCCGCAGAGTGTATTAGTCTGATTGCTGCTGCCTGTTCTCCCCGCCTATGATTTCCATGCACCCGTTGTTCACAGTAGAGAAAAAGCTCACTAATGTATTACCCCTAAAATGAAAAACCATTCTCTCCTGCTAATGAATGCTAGGCTACAGTAAGCAGATGAAGAAGTTTAAAAAGGAAAACAGGGAAAGAACATTTAACAAAACCTGATGTCCTCTGGTTTGTACTGCACCTGAAAATCACTTGGAACTTAACCAGTGAGGTTAAAGGAGGAGACCTGTGGCATGAATGGGAACTTCTTTTGCCACGCAGGTGCTGTGGTTTTGAGTGTGTCACTGACAGATGCACATGCCCCTAAATCTCTCTCCATCTGTCACAGAGCCCACCATGACAGATGCATGCCTTTGAAAAAGACTACCCATCTCTCATGTTTTGCTTTTGAACTCTATGCCTCTATCTGGAGAAGTTAGACATGGATCCAAAGTCAACCATTATTTTAGAACACAGTACTTTAGTAAGAATCAGCTAGTAAGGCCATAAGGGGACCAAACAGGTAACAATTAAGTTGTGATGAAGGGTGGGCAAGCGGAATGTCTGGAACCACCCTGGCGAACTCTAAATTGTCAGGGCTCACACCCACAGCACTTGGTGCCTGGAGCAAGGGAGATGCCATCGTGGAGAAAGGAGAGATGGCCTTAGACACATTGACTCACATCACATTTTTCAAAAGCCTGCTCTGCTTTGCAGGCAGAAGGGCAGGGGTAGAAATTGGGCTGGAGTTCTCCTCTAACTCTAAACACCCCTCTAGCTCTCACGTGGCTTTCTGCCTTCCTCCTTTTCAAGCCACACAGATTGTAGATCCCAGAGAAGCAAGAAGATGGTTAAACATGGAATCAGGCACCTTGTATAGCTAATTGACAATTTTTTAATACTCTTTAAACACTTGTTTAACTTGGAAGAGAGACTGTGCACTACAAAGGGGAAAAGCTGAGAAGGAAGATATGTAGGGAGTCCTCAGTTTCTTTTGTTGTGGTTGTGGTGGTGGTATTTGAGACATGGTCTCATTCTGTCATCCAGGCTGGAGTGCAGTGGTGCAATCACAGCTCACTGCAGCCTCCACTTCTTGGGCTCGTTCAATCCTCCCACCTTAGCCTCCTGAGTAGCTGGGACCACAGGTGCATGCCACCATGCCTGGGTAATTTTATATTTTGGTAGAGATGGGGTGTCACTATTTGGCTAAGGCTGGTCTCAAACTCCAGGGCTCAAGTGATCCTCCCACCTTGGCCTCCCAAAGTGCTGGGATTACAGGCATGAGCCACCATGTCCACCCTCAGTTTCTTTTATTTTCCTCAGCAACTCGGTTCTTTCAACTAAGCATGGGGACTCCACTCAGGAAATCAAAACATTCATCTGCCCTTGCCCCAATCCAAGTCTCTTGTCCAAGTGTTCCTTCCAGCCACAGAGAATGCAATCCGTGAGGCGAGTTCTTGCAAAAACCCGTGTCCTTTCTTTTCTATGTCTAGTACTGTTTAGTGCCCCTTATAGATTAGGTGCTTGGGGGAATGCCCAGAAACCTCACCCCTTAATCCTTCTCTGGTTGAACGTCTGGCTATGTAATCTCAGATGCCCCCAGCCTTCATTAACCCTCACTGAACTCTCTCCCCAAGACTGCTCACTGTACATACTCCTGTCCTCAGATTTTGAGCTGTGTTGGGAGCAAAAATTCTACAAACAAGCAAATATACTAATAAGTCTGAGGTAAGAGAGGGTCCTTCTAGAATTCAGAAAAACCAGTTGGGAAGACTTGTAATCCAGCAATTTACAAAGAGCCTGGTATATAGTATATGTTCACCAAGTACTTGTTGAAAGAAAATTAACGAATGAATGAGCCACTGTGGCAAGAGGGTAAAGGATGATATGCTGTCTATCTACAACTGTAACTGAAGCTACATTCCTTTATAATTTGGCTCTATCATGATCTGTTTTTTAACAATTACTGATGTTGAAGTGCATTTTTTTGACATATGACACTAAGGAGTGGTGCTGGAAAACAAAAGACTTTCTGTGCCTTCTCATTTCCACTGGTCTCTTGGTTTGGCCTTGCGTAAACCCATGTGATATTTCTGAGTAGACAACAATGCCCAGGTTTAAACCGAACGCCAGCTATAAAATCCTCATATCAGTGTGCTCCTCTTGCCACTGACACATGAACTGGGAAAAAGGCAGGTTTAAACTCAGCTGATGGTAGACGTGCAAGTAAACCAGTAGCCACCTCTTTTTCCCAGCACCCTTGGGGGCGTCATGTGGCTTTGCCATCAGCTCACCAGACTGTGCTCAAGCTGAAGTGTACATCACCTAAAATCAGCTTTCCAATTGGTTCCCCTTAAATGAACCTCAATACCCCTGCTGTGTGAACATGTGGAGTTCCTGACAAAGATGTTTATGAGATAGGAAATGCACCACAGGACACTCTGAATTTGCTTTTGGATAGAATGAAACTTAGAACAAATGCAACATGAGATACACATTATAGGCTGACTTAGACTATTAACCAAAAACTCTCTTAGATGCACACAGAAAGAACAATGATAGCTGATTTCTATAATTATAACCCAGAGAGTCTGCGAAATTCTGAACTATCTTCTGAATCTTCAAGCATGGTGTGGTTTTAGTTCATCTCTTTTAATATATTTAAATTCTTTGGAAAATCATTCTATTCTATAATGGCAATGTCTTATTAACTATAATATCTGGGTAGTTATAATATAAAAATAAAATTCTGCATAAGAAAGAACGGACTGATTCCCTGGTTCCCTATATAAGGAAAAGAGATGAAACTTACAGAACTCCCTAAGCTTATTTCTGGTAGTAGAAAAACTCAATCACAATTACATAAGTGGAGAGGTTTATAAGAATTACATAAGTGGAGAGGTTTAAAGGGAAGCAACATGTTGTCAAGACAGAACATTTTTAATATCTTGACAAGGCACTCTTCCCAGTTCTCCTTTGGTCATGACGTTAACCGTAGGCAAACTAATGAAGAATTGACTATTAATTTATCTACCTTTAGATGCTTTCTTGGAAATTCTTTTGTGTGTAGCTCCGTCTCCCTATTTCCTAACTCAAAATTAAAATCTCAATCCATACAACCTGGGACAGAAAAATAACTTGGAGCAAGCAGATTCTCTGGCTAGGGGATTCCTTGAAATAATAAATAATGAGCAAGCCAGATGCTTAAGAGTGAAAAATGAAGTTGTAGGTTATGATTTAAAGAGCAATTGAGAAGTTGGCGGAGATGTCATGATGGATCATATTCAAGTGAGGGTATGAGGGAGTGGAAACTATGAGCAAACATACACTCTGGTGATGAGGTTATACGTTTATTTAAACTACAATTCCACTATGCAGACAAAATATAACTTCTTTATTTGATTTAGAACAGCCTTAATCTTGTTAATGAGCCCCACCCACTGGGTAACAAAAAGAACAAAACAAAGCAAAATGCTTTAGTCTAGTTCTTAGCTTGAAGCAATAATTTTGACATTCTTAGGTATTACTCAGTTTTTTAGAATCTTATTTCTTTTCCTTCTCTGTATCAATGTGATGTCTGGGTAGGGCAGATTAGAGTTTATATGATCTTGTGGCTTTGAGGGGAAAGAGGCCCAAATGCCATTTAATATTCTTTGTCTCCTCTAGTCTCCACAGCCATGACCTTGAACAGCTGCTCATAGCTGGCCCCGCTGGTACTCATAGCTACAATTGGCGGCTGGTACCACTTGCGATCTAGCCTCTCGTAGCTTGGGCGGTGGCTGATGGCCTTCCCTGGCTCATGTGGCCTCACTGCACTTTACTGATGTGAATAACCCTTCCTAATGGGATGTGCCTCCCATTTGTCTGTCACAGCATCAAAACACACTTACTGAGAAATAGAGCTCCCCAAATTCTGTTTCCTCTACATTGAATCCACGTCACTGGAGCACCAAAAGCTGACTCAAAAACTAAAACATCAGGAAGTTGATCTCACCCCATGGCACCTCCAGGTGGACAACTTGATGAAGTTGTCCCAGAGGTGCAGAGGGCAACATGGGAAGTGACTGCCTCCTAGAGTCCCAGGCATGGATTGGAGCAAAATGCTCATGCCATTCCAGTACCCCAAATTACCTGGATGTTCCTAAAGCTGCCCACTGCCCTTGAAGTTTGGCCTTGAGGTAGTGTTGGGAGATAAGAGGAAGTTAGTCTTTCCATCTCTGCCTCTCTCCGTTTTCCCACAGTGCTTCAGGCTAGAAAGGGTGGGGTTTTCCTTGTCTTCGCCTGCATCTTACCATCCTTTCACCATCACTAGTTAAGCCTTGTGACTAAGCCATATTAGATAGAAAGAGTATCATCTCGACAGGGACTCTAAGATTGCTACCTGCACCTTCGCTGACCATGCTGTCCCAGGTGGTACTTTCCGCCGCCACCACAGTGGCCCCGTCTCTGAAGAATGCAGCCTTCCTAGGTCCAGGAGTATTGCAGGCAACAAGGACCTTCCATACAGGGTAGCCACACCTTGCCCCTGTACCACCTCTTCCTGAATATGGAGGAAAAGTTTGTTATGGACTGATCCCTGAGGAATTCTTCTAGTTTCTTTATCCTAAAACTGGTGTAACAGGACCCTATGTGCTCGGAACTGGGCTTATCTTGTATGCTTTATCCAAAGAAATATATGTGATTACCACAGAGACCTTCACTGCCATGTCATTAATAGGGATAATGGTCTATGGAATTAAAAAATATGGTCCCTCTGTTGCAGCATTTGCTGATAAAATCAATGAGCAAAAACTTGCCCAACTAGAAGAGGCGAAGCAGGCTTCCATCCAGCAAATCCAGAATGCAATTGATATGGAGAAGTCGCAGCAGGCACTGACTCAGAAGCGCCTTTACCTTTTTGATGTGCAAAGGAATAACATTGCTATGGCTTTGGAGGTTACTTACCGGGAACGACTATATAGAGTATATAAGGAAGAATCGCCTGGACTACCACATAGCTGTGCAGAACATGACGCGTCGAAAGGAACAAGAACACATGATAAATTGGGTGGAAAAGCACGTGGTTCGAAGCATCTCCGCAGAGCAGGAAAAGGAGACAGTTGCCAAGTGCGTTGCGGACCTAAAGCTGCTGGCAAAGAAGGCTCAAGCACCCCCGGTTACGTAAATGAATCTATCCCAATTGAGACAGCTAGAAACAGTTGACACACTAAATGGAAACTAGTCTATTTGACGAAATCTTTCTGTATTGATGTCTACTGAAGTTATAGTTTACCCTTCCTAAAAATGAAAAGTTTGTTTCATATAGTAAGAGAACAAAATCTCTATCGGCCAGTCAAATGTTTCTCATCCTTCCTACTCTGCCTTTGAGTTGTTCCATGATCACTTCTGAATAAGCAGTTTGTCTTTATAAAAACTTGCGGTCTGACTAAAGATTACCAGATTATAGTTTAAATTTGCAATTAATTCTACCATCTTGCAATAAAGTGACAATTGAATGAAAAAAAAAAAAAAAGAAAAGAAAGAGTATCATCTCTATACCCCAGGAGAAATTCTATGATCTGATTCATCCAAGTTAGTTCCTGAAATTCTAAAAGGGATTTTGAAATTTCTTCCTGTCATCCAAGCCTGGTTTTCAAGCCCATTATTTTCTTGCAGGACAAGGGGGTTTCATGGCTTAACCTGCAAAGAATATAATTTGAGAGGGAAAAGAAAATACATTCAAGAAAAAGGTGGAAAGGTAGAAAATTGCAAAGAATAGGATTTGAGGGGGACAAGAAAATACATACTTTTAATATTTGCAAAGTATTCGCTCATTACCTATCAAGAATAGAAACTATATTTGTAAAGGGTAGGGAATTTGTCAGAAGTGAGAGGACTGCCATTCAGACACATGGAGCGGAGTTAAGGCTGTGATTGGTAGGGACTAAAATGAAACAGCAAACATCTTACTAGAGCCATTTAGGTTACAGAGGACTCTCTGGTTACCGTCTCTCTGGAGCCTCCTTTTGTTAGTTTATTTGGCTTTTCCTGTGTTCCCATGCTTGTGTACAAATCTTTAATTACTTAAGTGCATTTCTGTTCCTTAAAACCAAAATAACTGAACGAACATAAGCATTCATTTAAGACTTTTATATTCCACAATATATACATTGTGCACACGAGTGTCACTAAATCCCATTTCCTGTTCCCTGTAAATGTCCTAATAGCCTCAGATTCTGGCTGCCACACCCCCAGGTCACCACCATATCGCCCTAGCTGGCTGACCTGACTCCAGGCTCTCTCTGCGGTTATCCTGCCATCCTTGCCCCTTTAGTCTCCCTGAAACTCCACTGTCACTACATCCTCTCCTGCTCTGAGACTTACACATTGCTCTTCACCCTCCTCCCAGTCATTGCAAGTTGGATTTGCCTCAGTGCAGTTTCTAGGCTCTGCCCATTTAAAAGAATCCAATTTCCCACTATGCTCAACCTGCCTGCACCTTAGGCAGGCCAAAATCAAAACTGGCCTGCAAGAGGAACACCTGTCTGTGCTTGCTCTCTCATTTTCTGCAGTTCCTCAATGGTTTTTGCCCCTGTCTACTGCTAGTCTAAATCTAACCCATTTTTCTAAGCTTCCTCAAATCCTATTTATTTTCTTTACTCTGAACTGTTAGTTACTCTAGGCCGTGCTAGTGTCGAGCTTAATTATATTTCATCTTTGGATAACAGGTATCTAAAGCTAATTTTTATTGAGCACCTTTTATGGGCCAAGTGCCTTCCCAGGATAGCTCATTTGAGCTGCACTCCACCCCTGTGAGGTGGGCACAATGATGCACATACTGGAAATGGGGAAATGGAGCCTCCTGGTGACTAAGTAACTTTCCTAAAGTCATACAGGTGGTAAGTGGATGGAACTAAAATTCACACCATGAAATTAGATTGCAGAGGCTAAACTTGTTAATGTTGGCATACTGCCCCCAGAGAATCACTGCTTCCAATTTCAAGTGTCTTCATCTTATCTCCCCAACTAGATGGTAACTATGCTGGCAATAATATGGGCAGGATCATGAATTATCTGTTTTCTGCATCCTCCTAAGCAAGCACATACAAGACCCTTGAATGGTTATCTCCCCCTGACTGGTCTCTCCCATTGAATCACCATTATCTCCAATATAGAGCAACATGGTCTTTACATTTGAGGCTTATTCAGATTCTGTTAAGTTTGAATGCTGCACTTCTTATCTTTCCTCCCATGAATACTCTGTGAGCCCCTGGATGGCCAAGGTGCTGACCGCCAAAGGTAGGAGGCATCTGGATGCTCTCCCAGAGACTCTACTTCTCTCTCTCTGCCCATCTGCCAGGTTGACTTCTGATGTCATGGGACTCATCATCACGATGACATGCCCTTTTGCAATGTCAGGGTTGCACAGTGTTCCTAAATCCACCTTCCAGACAAACCAATCCCAAAGGCGTTCATGAGGAGGATTATAGCCTGCAGAAGGTGTTCCCCGACCAGCTCCCCTGAGGCTGGGCTTTTTGTACAGTGTTGAAAGGAGATCCCTAAGATTTCTCATTTAAATGCTCCCCAACCCTGTGATTTATTTAGAGAGAAACCAGCTGCCCCAGTGAGAGCAGAGAAATGGATAGTTTGTGACCAGATTTTAAACATTAGAGCTTATGCCTTCAAAGGGTAGTTTCCCAAGGGGATCTCTCTTCCTGTTCCTAAATGAAAAGCTACAAGCATTTAGGGCTGCCTTAAGATGTGGTGAAATGAGGCTTTGAGACTGTCAACATTTGGCTTTGCTCTTTGCAGAGGGTGTTGAGGAGCTTCACAGGCCCAGGCCTGGCAGGAAAAGGCTCGGCAGGGGCCTCTTTGTTGTGAGAGGACTTGGGGTGGAAATCACTCGTTTCCTCCAAAGGCCTCCTCCCCACCAACAGTGTGGCTCCTCCCTTCCTCTCCAGCATCCTCGCTGGCCTCTCCAGTCTCTCTGCTTTCCCTCTCCCGCCCAGTGTCCTCCTTGGGAGGAAGAAGAGAACAAAGTACATTCGAAAAGGCCTCCCTCTCTCTTCCTGTAAGGTTACCCCAAAAAAGTCTCCCCAATGGAGTGCAGGTTTCTTGTTATACCAAGGGTTGGCTGCAGACACTAGAAGTAATTCCATCAGTGACGACATGACAAGATCATTTAAGGATCCCCTTAAAAGCCCTGTTGTTTGTCTAAATTTCTGCCCACAGCTGTCTGTTTAAGAAACCTCACAAAGACACCATGAAATCCTGTTTGTTCTCAACCTTTAATCAATGCTAATCCCAGAGGATAGGAAGGTGGAGCTTGTTTTAAGACGGGGGAAGGGCAGCGTCTGTGATCATGACACACATCAGACGCTTCCCCTTCTAGACATGTCAGGGGATGTGATGGCTTATGGGAGGTGCTCTGGAATAAAAGGGAGGGGGTTGTTCTTCCCTGGCCGGCTTTTATCTTTAATTGTCAACACTCCTGGCCTGCAGAGGATTGAAAAGAAAACACTGCACAGGCCTAAATCAGTCAGAGTAGCAGGGAAGGCGTGAGATCCTCCACACTCAGGATTTAAGTCTCTTCCTGCAAGTGGGGAACTTTGTTCTATGCCTGGCCCACCTGTGCCTACTTCAAAATGGTCCTGGACCTGGCCCCTGGTCTGCAAAGAATGAAGTGAGGCAACATCACTTGACCCCTAAATCACTGAAGAAATGTATGCCTACCCAAGGAAATGTGATTCCTGGAAGTCCAGATTTATAAAGGTAAGATTAAGTCAGGGATTAGATAGGCTTTTTGTTTTCCTTGGGAAACATGAAAGGATGGATGCCTTAAAATGGTGTCTCCCAACCAAGGGCATTTGAAATACGGTCTGATTTTTAAGAATTTGATCCTCAATCAAATTCCTGGCAATAGAATCATATTCAGTGCGGGGGAAGTGGGAGAGGGAACTCATTTACTCATTAACTACATCTATGCAATTCCAATATCAGATGGGAAAGCAAAAATTCTCAGGACAGAAAAAGATTCACTAATTAATTGACCACTTATGTAATTAGTTCTCGTTTAATCATAAGTTTCCACTTATGCTGTTGTCTACTCTCACACGTGGCACCAAGATCTTTGTTGGTCACTCCCATGAGGTCATTCATACAATGCAAATCAAATGCAAATGGATGGCAACAAAGTGAAATTGCATATCCTACAAAAGATGTAGGCTTTCATCCAACTTGGATGAGGACATAATTTGAGCTTCAAAAGAGAGTGATTTGAATATCAGAGAATTAAAAGAGACTCTTGGGGAAATGAGTGAAGTCCTTTAATATTTTTGCAAAAATGACCCTCTCATGACTGTAGCAAAAATCAGTGTGAAGTAAAGGAGATCTCAAAATTTTGCCAGCAAACTTAAGTCAAAAAAATCAACATTTAATTCACTTCCTGATTCTAAAATTAGCAATTGATTATAACGCTAACATTCTGGTAAATATAAAATAAATACTAAATTATTTTATACCTTTAATTTTTAAAAATAAAATTCAATCAATATTTTCAAAACACCATTTATTGTAAGAAAAATACTTCTTGTTTCAAGTGATTATGAATTTTTAAAATATCAACTATCCTTGGATAATGAGGACAATCTGTGGTTATTATTTCACATATATTATTTCATTTATTGCTCACAGCCACCCTGTTAGGCTGAGCAACTATTAGCACTATTTTTACAGGTAAGAAAATTGAGGCCTTGGGAGGTGATTTGAACAGTATTACAAAGTTAGTAAATATTAGCTTCAATTAGATAGGCAATGCAATTATTCTTATTTTGTAAAGGAGAAAATTCTGTCTCCAGCAGGTTCAATGACTAACCCTTGGGCACATGGCTAGTAATATTAGTCACATTCCAACCCAGATCTTCTGTCCCCAGATCAAGGCTTATTCTATTATAGCCACCAAATTTATTTACAAATAAAAATAGCCAAGCATGATGTAACCAAAGTTTTAAGAGCTAAAGATGTTAAAGGGAACCTCTAGTGTATTCAGAAAGCAGGGTTCTGTTGCAACCTCCATTGAGAGAAAGGGAGGGGTAATCCCTCTTAAAGTGTATGTTTAATTCATTTTAGATTGAGTTAAATTGGCACTTCAGTCATGAGTACAGCAGGCTATATTCTTCTTCAGTGACCCATTTGCCAAAAGTACCACAGCAATTAAACACTAAGCAAATACATACATAGGTAAGATAAAAACAGCACTCAGATGTTGAAAACCTAAATTTATCCAGCACACTTAAGCCTAGTATAGCAAAGCATATGTGGTATCTGTTTTTATTAATGGATTTTTATTTCTGGCTTCTTTTTCCCTTTCAGCTTTGGTAATGCTAGATGTATGTACAAAAATCTAGATATCTATCCAGAAATTGGCACTTTAGTACTCATGAGTTGATACAAACAATATAACTAGGGCCATTATAATGTTAAGTGAATTTCCAACAAATAGAGTTAGAAATCCAATTATCTTTCCATAGAAAG